ACAGAAAAGTTCGAGAAATGTTATACTTGCACAAAGGGAAGTAATATTTCAGTCGTGTGGAATATTGAGTTTCCAGTCATATGTATATACTTTTTCTTATTATTATTATTATTATTATTATATATATATATATATATATATATATATATATATATATATATTATATATATATATATATATATATACATTTTTTTTTTTTTGGGGGGGGGGTCACATCGTTTTGCACCTCTGCATTTCATGCAAGGAAAGTATGTCTTTCAAAGTAGCTTACCTTCTTCGGAATAAATCAGAAACCGAAATATAAGCTGTACGAAGCACACGAGGATATTATATTAGTCACATATTTTTTTCGTAACTTTATTTCATGTCTGCCTGTTATCTTGTTAATATTGTCACAATCAAAATAGCTTTTAACAAATGAGGGACAGTGAAGTCTGATTTCACAAGCACGCATTACGTCTAAAATTAAACAAGAATGTCAATTGCAAGTTCAAGCATGTAGAATGTTAGATGAAATGTTTGAATCAAGTACCACGTAGTACACTTAAATAATTTATAGATTATAGTTGTTATGCGGTAAAACCTTAGCAAATAAAGAGGTTAAATGACTAATCTATACTTCGTCTAATCTCTCTTTTATTTTTTTTATTACACACACACACACACACACACACACACACACACACACACACACACATATATATATATATATATATATATATATATATATATATAATATATATATGTGTGTGTGTGTGTGTGTGTGTGTGTGTGTGTGTGTGTGTGTGTGTGTGTGTGTGTGAATAAATAATTTGTGTGTGTGAATAAATAAATTGTGTTATACATATTTACATGTCTTGTCTTTTTAAAGCCTTTGTATATTTTCTTTTAGATTTGCTGTCTTCAGCACCACTTTAGCATTTTTGCTTGGGTTGTGCTGCCGTCTCTCTCTCTCTCCCTCTCTTTCTGTCTTTCTCTCCCTCTCCCTCCTCCCTCCCTCTCTCTCTCTCTCTCTCTCTCTCTCTCTCTCTCTCTTTCACACACACACCTGAGATTGAATGGAGGATAGTGAAAATTTAACCCCATTCTTTCTCTGCGCTCAGGACCAAATACATTTTACAAGAGGACAACACAGCTCTCTCGCGAACCATCGTGACCAGTCTTTTGTTTTCTTATTCCGTGAGAATGATTCAGAAGTCACTAAGATCTTGTTGCATGTAATCAGTTTCAGTTTGACAAAATATCTACGCACACTGTAATAGATGTATACACCAAATACATCCGTAGTAGGAGTTGGAATATTTTTATTTATTTATTCATTTATTTTAATATTCATGTCATTACTGTATTATAAGACCTTTATTGCCTTTACCTTTGGAAAGGAAACATTTTGGTTCTTCAGGAGAGCTGCGTTGTCTTTCTTATCCCTTTGCTAAAGTACAAATATGCAATTATGCAAATGTATTGATTAATTTTACTCAATAAAAATCAATCAACTAATAGCTTTTGAAAGGTATTTAGCCTACCATAAAATTCCTTCTGGGGTTTCTATCCTGGGGGCCACGGTATACTTTCTAGAGGGCCATGGAGTAATATGAAAAATATGACGACGAATTAAACTGAATTTTATCTCACCTACAGAAACTACATACAATTATACCTCGCATATCAATAAATTGGAATCTTTCCATAAAATGTTTTTGTTCTATAGTATTGACACCACAACGCTATTCATAACTAGCAATATCTGAATTTGAAAAGACGACAGACACTGACGGGGCCATAGACATTTTTATACAATAGTCAGGAGCCACATTAGTTGGAAACCATTGTATATTTAACCTCCATTATTAATATTCATTACCATCAAGGGCCTTTTTTAAAGAGTACTAAAGTTTCATTATATTTTATCTCCAATAGAAGAATTTAAACTAATCAAGCATCAAAATTAACTACTGCTGCAAGTGGTTACGGACTCTATAAATTACTCAATTGACGGGGAATTATGCCTCACGTGAAGGAATGAGAGAAGGAAAGGAAAGAAAATGTTCCACCGAAAGTTAATTACTCAGAGGACTACAGTTTCGTTTGCTGGACACCATGTTTTTTCTTTAACAAAAGGTTATGTCAGTCATCTAGTGTGATACATTTTGTATTGTGGCCTACAGTTTAAGATCTATATACTGAAACTATATATGTAATACAACGATGAACCGTATTCACGTTGCCAAATGTAGAAAAGGTATGAAATACATGAATACATCTATTTATGTATATATATATCACACACAAAAAGAAAGAAAGAAGGAAAGAAAGAAAGACAGTGAACATTGTAAAAACCATATGGACTCGATCGGAAAAAAAAAAAAAAAAAATACAGCCGACCTTATATTCGACATTACTATACATTCTACTCGTAATGAAGGCTCTGGCGTTTTAAACAGCAGGGCATTCGAACACAGTTTTACAACAGGCGACGGGATGGTACGACTTGGACAAAGGCAAACACTTTCCACAGCACAAATAAACCCATGTGGTTATTATAGGTAAATAAATCCAATAGATTTAATATGAGACAAAAGCCATTGCCAAGATATTTTCTCTGCTTACTCGTAACTGATGTTTAGTTTTTAGTTAAAAATATGCGAGACCCAATCCCATGAATATTCATTATTCAGACTTACATATACACACATATAAATGCATGTATATCAGTCTAGACATGCATCTATCAGACAGATAAACAGATATGTATTTATTTTAATTTATGCATGTCCTTATAAATGGATAATAATTGGGTCGGGCCTAGCACAATTTTAAGAAACTAGCCGTCAGGCCACAGTTTTTTTTTTTTTTTTTTTTTTGAATAGCGGACCCGTCGCCATTTATTTCCAGGAAAATGAGAAAAAGTGAAAATCCCGATTTTTTTTATATAAATATTTTATTTTTTTACAAAAAAAAAAAAAAAAAAAAAATGCAAATCAATTTGTCTATGATTCATTGTGTATGGTATCGTTCCTCCCGTCCCCAAACAAAACTAAAATATATTTGGCGGAAATACCTTACTTTCATGCGCCATGTCTATTGTTTTGTCTATCGTGTCCGTGGTCACTTCTGGTCAGTACTGGCGTATTTCGCAATATACGCAGAGAACCTGCCCACTAGGATGTAAACACACATTCAAACATCAAAACAAAAATGTTTTCATTCAACTCCTCGAAGACTTCTAGTTGAGACAGAATTGTACTTCCTCCAGGTGGGGCTGGAACTGATACATTCATATACTTCTGATCTTTGAAAAGTAGGAGGTACACTTGTCTTATTTTGGTGCTGGGGATTTTTTTCTTGCCTCTCACCATTCCAATATCACCAGACTTGCTCGCAATACAAAATAAAAATACTGTGGCCTTTGTACCGCATATAAATTGTAATTATTACCAAAATTTACATGACGTTAAATCCATTTTGCTTAAAATTTTCTTATCAGTCGTTTGTTACTCAGGACTGATGACTATATATTTTTGAAATGTAAAATGAGTAAAATCTCTTTCATTCACCATGTATAATATTATCAGCAAACACATGCACCCATATTTTATTTTAATAATTTCTTTGATTCCCATACAATAGTTTCGAGGTACATTTTTTTGTGAAATTTGACAATTAACAAGCAACCTCAGAAACGTGTTTTGGGGGGATTTGGGCTTTTGTAATTATCTTTTTCATTGATTATATACGAATCATTTACACGTGTGTGCGTGTGTGTAATCTATTTGTTTATTTATGCAAATCATAAATATGAAATAAATAGATCATTTTAAAAATCTAAAATAAAACATAATTGCTCTAAAAAATGTCTTATGCTGTGGGTGCCTTGTTATCCACACAGAATTTGGATCACTGTTGCAGTAAAGGTGGATAACCAAAGATTTTTATTTGCAGGTTTATTCAAAACAAGTACAAACGGTACAGACAGACGCAAATAACACGTAAAATAAGCTAGGGTAAAACAGAAATGAAACAAAGCATGGCAGTCAGTGATTAAGTGACCCTATGGATTACGGTAGGATGCGGGGCATTATAGGGTTAGGATGCAGGTAGGTTAGATATAAAGGCAGCAGGTATGGCAAACCGGGAAGAGAGCGGGGAGGGAGAAAATAGCACAGAAATTGACAGGAGTGAAAAAGAAGCAAAGGAACAAGAAGAGAATAAGAGTATAAGGGGGAATAATTGCAGGATGCGAAGCAGGATGGAAGCTGGATAGAGTAGGAATAAAGACAAATGAAAGAATAGGCACAATGAAAAGAGATGGAGAAATTAGAGTGGAAAAAAATAGGAGAGGAGAGTACGAATAGACAGGGATAGAAGTATCAGGGATAGGAAAGTGGGAGGAGATGGATTTGGTACAGGGGGAGGGGGGGAGTGAAGATTGAAAACTTTTTCCCATTTCTTCTTCAGCAGCTATACTCCAGCATAAGAATTCTACTTCATGGACCTTTTGTGTTCGGGAACTACGGTAAAAGTCCGTGTGTAGAAATCTTCAAAGAATACTCAATCTAACCTCTTTCTTAAGAAGGTTGATTGCCGACGCAGCTCTATAACCGTAAAAAAAAAAACATAAAAATAGTTCTTGCACGTTGCTAATACAGGGCCCTTGCAGGTATAAGCTGATTAAATTTTTTCAAGACCTCTTAAAGACTTTTTTTTTGGACTCATACCAATTGCTTTTTAAGACCTGGAGCCACTTGTCACTAAATACACACTTCCTCATAATGCGTAGGCCTACTTGTCGTGTCACTAATCAAGATAAAAAATTCACCCCGATGCGATTTTTGCACATCCCCTCAGATAGATTGCGCGCCAAAATATCTTTGCACACGGCCCGCAAGTAAACGGTCGCGTCGATCAGCAAAGGTCAGAGTGTTGTTGACAGGTCGCATAGCGATCCGAAAATGAGTGAACTGCGACGGCGTCCGCTGGTAACATATATATGTACAATT